TGTCCTGCCCCCAGTCTCAGCTTATGCTGGCAGGTACTGCAACCTAGACAAGACCAGTCAGCACCTATCTCCAACCTCATGTGGGTGAAGTGGCAGGTGTTGCAGCCCAACCCTGCTTGGGCCTGCACTGCATCCTGGCTCTTACACCTGCCAGCAGGTGCTGTGCACTGGCCCAGGCCAGCTGCAGGCCTGGCCCTTATGTATTCCATTGGGTACTGTAGCTAACCTGGTCTGGGCTGTCCCCAGCCTTGGCTCTTGTGCTCAGTAGCAGGAGCTATGATGTAACAGGTTAGTTCCCCATGTTTCCCTTTCAGATCAGCTCCAGGTGCTGTATCTTGCATGCTTTTGTGTCCTTGCCAGTCTGAGTTGGCCGACCCCCAGCCCTGGCACTAATGTGTGGATGCCTCAGCTTATCCTGACTTGGCTTCACCTACTATGGCTTTCAGTGGTGGATGCTACAGCAGGTGCTCGTGTTTAATCCAGTATGGCTTGCTCGTAGACCCAACCCACATGCATGCTGAGAGGTGCTACAGCTACGTTCATTTGTTCCAAACCAAACCCTAGCTTATATGTTTACCAGTCAGAATTGTGGTGAAGTACGGGAGCTGTCTTAATTCCCCACCAGGCTTGCTCCCAACCCAGAACTTGCACATGCTGGTGGTGCTCCAACCCAGCCTGGCTTGTCTTCCCCTGCCCCATCCAGTCTCTGCACTTATCAGCAGATGACACAGCTTGGCCTAGGTGATCTATTCCCAGTTCCATCTCTGGCTAATGGGTATTTCATCCTAGCCCTGAAGAGTATAGCCCCATCTCTTGCACTCGTGAACCTATGGGTGAAGCAGCATATCCAAGCATGGCCCACACCCCATCCTAGCTCCCATATGGATCAGTGGGTGCTAAGGCTTGGCCTTACCCAGCTAGACCCACCCACATACTGACAAGTGGCTTAATTCTTCCCCACCTGACCCACACTCAGCTCCAGCTCTTGTGCTCATCAGCAGGAGCTGCAGCCCAGTAGGAAATTCCCCCAAGTTTCCCTACCAGGCCTTCTAGGCTCAGATCTCATGTGTTCTGGTGGGTGCTATGCCTGTGTCTGGTCTAGTCATCCCCAGTCCTGGCCTTTGCATGTGTTGATGGGTGCTGTAGCATGGCCTGCCTCTGAACATAATTCTCAGGTGTGCTCACAGGTCCGTCCCAGCTGATCCCACGCCCAGTTTCTATAAATGTTGGTGAGTTTCATAGTCGTGCCTGGCTTGGCCTGTTACCACCCTCAATTCTCATGCAAATTAATGGGTATTGCAGATCCACATGGTGAGCACACTTATCCCCTACAGAATCTGTTCCCAGACTTAGTTCTCTTGTGTGTTGGTTGGTGTCATGGCCCGTCTTCTGCCCTGACACTCACTGGTGGGTACTGGGGCCTAGTCCTGCCAGGCATGCCCCCAGCTGTATCTTACATGTATGCCAGCCAGCAGCAGGCAATGTCACCTTGCCCAGCCCAGGTTCTCCACATGGGCAGGTGCATTGATCTAATCCAGTTTCCCCTTTCTAAACCACCCAGTCTCTCTCTCTCTTTTTCTCTCTCTTTTTAAAAAGAATTTTTTTAAACTTTTACTGGAAAGTCAGATATACAGAGAGGAAGATCTTCGTCCACTGATTCATTCCCCAAGTGACCAATACAACCGGACCTGAGCCAATCTGCAGCCAGGAGCCAGGAGCTTCTTCCAGGTCTCCCACACAAGGTGCAGGGTCCCAAGGCTTTGGGCTGTCCTCGACTGCTTTCCCAAACCATAAGCAGGGAGCTGGATGGGAAGTGCCAAGGCTAGGACACAAAATGGCACCCATATGGGATCCCAGCACATGTAAGGCGAGGACTTTAGTCACTGGGCAGTCTTAACTGCCTTGTTTGCCTGTGAGTGCAGTGGCTAGGTTCATGGGAGCCTCCAGCAGTCATTCCACACCTGTTAGGTACTCCCTTGGCAGATCCCATTCCCATACATTCCCAAACACCCTCCCCTGGGTAATCAATGGCTTCCTGTCCCTTTTGGCATAGGCCTGGGGTTATCTTCCACCGGGCCCTGTTGGTCACTGGCCCTTTCCCACATAACATAAAAATAATAAAAAAAAAAAAATTGAAAAATCGGGCCTGGCATGGTAGCCTAGTGGTTAAAGTCCTCACCTTGGACACACCGGGATCCCAAATGGGCACCAGTTCTAATCCCAGCAGCCCCGCTTCCCATCCAGCTCCCTGTTTCTGGCCTGGCAAAGCAGCTGAGGACAGCCCAAAGCCTTGGGAACCTGCACCTTGTGTGGGAGACCCTGGAAGAAGCTCCTGGTTCCTGGCTTCAGATCGGTTCAGCTCCAGGTGTTGCGGCTGCTTGGAGAGTGAATCATTGGACAGAAGACCTTCCTCTCTGTTTCTCCTCCTGTTTATGTAATTTTGCAATAAAAAAATAAGAAGAAAAAGATATTAAAAAAATTTTAAAAAATGAACCTGTGTTGGCATACTGGCATACTTATCTCAAATTTGGTGTTAACCAAGTGCAAAATGCTTGCTGGCTATTGGCTGCTTTTCTCCCAGCAGTGTGTAACACTTGCCTAGGTACAAGGCAATCTAGGCAGTTGCCCATAGCTGGGGAGGCATGCAGTTTTCTGTTTTCAAATCTGCACTTCTGATGTAACAGTGCCTCTATTTTAATGTCTGGTTTTAGTTATTTATATCTTTACAACTAATTTTGTCAACTCTTAATTTTTCTCTACTCTAATACTCCCTTCTGCTGGCTCTTAGTTTGCTCCTCTTTCACACCTTAGGTGTAAAGGTAGCTTGCTGCTATTTTAAAGGCAGAGACAAAGACCTTCCCAGGTTCACTCCCCAATACATCCAGTAGCTGGGATTGGGCCAAGCTGAAACCAGAAACCTGTTAAGTAGAAGCTCTCACACAGATGACAGGAACCCAACCCCTTGCGTTATTGTTACTGAAGGGTTTTGCCTGCATTGTCTACCTAGGACTGTTAGCTGTTACCTGCTCACCTGAGCTGTGTCTGGGTCACCCTCTCTTGGAGGCCCTTCCGCGCCTGCTCAGCAGGTTCCTGACCTAAGGAAGTCTGGCTTTACTCATTGCCTCATCCACGAGGAAATCTGTCCACATGTGACAAGAACTGTCACTGCTTCCCCTGTAACTAAAGCATTTGTTTTTTTGCCATTTCTTTGAACTACTGATTAACAGTGTTATCTGATTTTTTTGTTGTTGTTGCAAATTTTCCAAGTTTTTTGTTCTTAGTTTGATTCCATTCAGAATAACACTTGATAAGGCTTTAAGTTTACTAAGAATTGTCTTATAGACTAACCTAAAGTCTGATGGTGAATGTTCTAAGTGTGCACTGGAGAAGAAAGTATTTTCAATCATTATTGGATGGAGTGTCCCGTATTAGGTTTAATTGCCTTTGGTGTTAATGCTATATTTATTCAAAATGGGGTAGTTAAGTCAATAATATAGAACTTCTTTCAGTTCTACTACATTTTGCCCCATATATGTGTGTATGTATATATAATAAAGATGTATTTTTACTGGAAAGTCATATTTACAGAGAGAAGTGCGGACAGAAAGATCTTTCATCTGCTGGTCCACTCCCAAGGAGGCCACAATGGCTGGAGCTGAGCCGATACGAAGCCAGGAGGCCAGGAGCTTCTTCTGGGTCTTCCACATGAGTGCAGTGGCACAAGGATTTAGTCAAGCCTTGGTAAGCCTATACCAAGGCCAGGTATCAAGAATATCATGAATTAGTCAAGAATGAAGGATGGCCCAGCGTGATGGCTCAGTGGCTAAATCCTTGCCTTGCAAATGTTGAGATCCCATACAGGTGGCTCAAGTCCTTCCTGGCTGTTCCACTTTCCATGCAGCTCCCTGCTTGTGGCCTGGGAAAGCAATTGAGGATGACCCCAAGTTTGGGGCCCTGCACCTGCGTGGGAGACCTGGAAGAAGCTCCTGGCTTCAGATCAGCTCAGCTCCAGCTGTTGACATCACTTGGAAGGAACCAGTGGACAGAAGAGCTTTTGGTCTCTCCTCTTGATAAATCCACCTTTCCAATAAAAATAAAGAAATAAAGAAATATGACTGAAGGAGACTTGTGACAAATAACTTTTACATTGCTGCCTTGGTGACTATAATCAACATTTAATACATAATAAACTAGTTCATATTAATACCAACTAAACTTTGATGGTATTCCAAAGTTTATTCCCAAGTAGCTATCCCATACCCCCCGCCCCCGGCCTTCTGCTTATCACGCTCACACACATTGCATCTTTTACATTTATTGGTATAGTCATCTTTACCTGTTGCTTGTTTTTTATGTGGATGTGAGTCAGTGTCCCTTCAAGCCTGAAGGACTGAACTTCCTGTAGAGCAGGACAGGTCAGTTATTACTGAATTCTCCCTTTGTGTTGATCTGGGAAATAGTTTCTTTACACTTTTCCATTTAATATGTTTCCACCCATGCAGAGGTACAAACCCGCTGCTCTCAAAGTTAGCTGTCACGAGGGTACTATGTAAACTTGAGATTCCAGGCAGCAGGAGCTGAAGCCAGGAGCACGTTTTTAGCTTGCTGTTCCATCTCTTAGAACACTTCAGTTTGGAATTTTTGTACTGCTTTCTGCCAACACACTATAGTTCTGTACCTAGAATGCAGCGAAGGGCTTACCGGGGCATGGGTCACAGAGCTTTCTAGTTGACTGAAAGCATGCTCTTGAAATCTGGCAGCTAAGCAACTGGTGGAATCAGAAGCAGAACCCAGTTCCACTGAGGAGAGTCAGTATTTTGTCTTAAATAGTTGTGATGCTCTGCAGCTCAACTAATCCAACAAGATCCCGGCCATCCAAAGAGCACTGCATATTACTCCGTTCCCTCAGAGGAAAGCACCAGAGGTGCTTCTTCATGATACAGTGCAAGGAAATGTTATATGGGTGGTACTCATAAGAAAACACAGCGAAGAAACACAAGTTTTGGAAAAGGTAGACTTTTAATAACTGCTTTTTATCACAGGTTAAGTCATGCAGGTACAAAGTAGTTAGAAATTTCTGAAAGGGTCTTACATTATTTAAAAAAAAGCATTCATTCTTACATAAATAATGTCTAGTACTTCACTGGGACACTACTGTTTCAAGTCCCTGGCCAGCTAACTCCCCACACAGCCCTGAGCCCCGGCTGCTGGCAGCCCCCCTCTTGCAGAAACCGGGTACAGCAGGCAAAGCCTTTTCCTAGGGGAGGTGCAGAGGCAGGCTGAGCTGCAGCCACGGGTGGACCCCAAACAAGAACCGAAGTGGTTGTTTCCTGGTGCACTCTACTTGAAGTACTGTCCAATTAGTCAACATAATGGAGCTTCAAAGGAAGAAACAATTAATTCACACGATGAAACAGTCACTATAATCTTTGGACTATAATAATAACAGTTAGTAAATCCCAACAGCCTTAGAGATAGCCTCCATCATGGGTAGGGCTGAAGAGAGCGCTCCATCAGGCCTTTTGTTTTGCTGGACAACACATGATTGATAAGCTATAAATGATAATTGTTTAATGTTATAAAAATACTAGCTTTTTTCATGTATCATGTTTATAGGTACTCACTGCTTGAGTTGAAGTTAGACTTGTTAAGTGATTAAAGGCAATTTTATTACAGCAGCATGTACTTATATTTTATCCTAGGAGAATAAAATGCATAAGGAGAAACAGCTTTTATTTTTGTTTGCAACTTGTAAAACTGAGTTATTTTGCTGATGTAAAATACCAGTAACTCATTGAGGACCGTGACACCTGAATGCCTCATAGCTACTTAATGTGTCAAAGTGACAGCCTGTCCTGGATTTGTTCCAAGCAAAAGCAGCAAGCAGCCGACTACTTCTGATTATCTTGTCTTCTCTGGCAACAGACAGCCAGTGCTGGGCAGAGCCGCTGGAGCGGGGCAGCTCACAGCAGATGGAAGAAGCTTCCTATTTAAAGGGAAATGCCTAATTGGTTCTCAGACACACGCCATTTCTGTATCTATGCTCGTCAGCTGCTATGTGATCCCCTAACCTTGATTTGTTTCTTCCAGGGGGGCTGATTTGGATCGACATGTTGAGGGTGGTGGCCATTACCTAATGAGTCATGAGAGAAAAGGATTTTGTGGTTACATGTAAACTTGTGATAGATCTGCAGAAGTTACAGGTGGGAAGGGTGAGGGGCTCAGCCACTATCCATCTAGGTGAAGGTCACGCCGGCCTCATTGTACACTTTGAAGACTTTCTCAATAGCGTTGACATAGGCAGCTGTTCTCAGGTCCAACCCCAGGTTATACTTCATGGCTGTACGCATAATTTGCTGCAATGAAGAATACACGGTGAGGACTACCCAACTCAAGTAGCCAGGCCAGGAACATATATAGCACACGTGCACCTGTACAAGGCACCCTGGTTTCTGTCAGCAAACGTCTCACAGCAGCCAGACAAACTATCTGAGGTGGGAGAACCACCACTAACCAAGACAGACCAATTTGTTGGAAGAATACAAATGATAACTGCTTTAGGCAGTGGTAGGAAGCTACCTCTTATCATTTTAGATGTGAGTGGTTTAACAGATATCCCGTTATCTGCAATGAATTCACTTGATGCTTTGTGACTGTTTAAAAGAACTAAGACATGGATGATGCAAATACTTTACAGTTGAAATGACTATGTCACTTGGAGAATAAGCTAATGGCTAGAGAACTATGTTCCTTGAAGGGATGAATCCATGGTGTAACATTCATACTCCACAAAAGATCAGCAGCGCTAGGAAGCACATTCTCTTTATCAACAATCTATTGGCGATATTTTAACTTATATCAAGTAAATGGAAATGGATCTTAAGAAAACACATGGAAAACTAGATGGAAAAATTATTTAAGGTCTTGAAATAGTGCCCAAATGGTCTAAGACATTTCTCGTTCTATCAAAGACTATAGTAAGGTAGCTTCCTAGAGCTGCATGAGGTGTGCAGAGGCGAACAGCACCTGCATACATACCCTGGCAGAACGCTCCATGGTGTAGGCCAGGCCAGAGTGCACAATGTCCTTCTCAGATGCTCCCTGTCAGGGAAAAACACACATAAGATTCTTAACTTAATATGTAGCCAGGCAGAACTGTTGTGTCCTCCAGTAAAGATATATATAGCTTCCACACAATAAGGAAGTTGCATTTTAACTACTATTTAGTTTTAGTTATGCTGACAACACACAATAATGAAATAAGATCACAGTAAAACAATGAACATAGAAATAGAAAGGTATGGCCCAAGAACCAAGAGGCCACACTGTGAGATCAACAACCTTCATTTGCAGACTCTACAGCAGCACGTTACATGAATTATGTCACAGAGCATGCGCCTCATTCACCAGGTGAGCAGAAACCCCAGCCAGGGCACAGGGCCAACAGTAGCTCTGGGCCTAAGTAGCGGGGAACTGCTCCCTGAGGTGCCAGCAAATTACATGGGTGCCAGTCAAGTTCTGGCTGCTCTGCTCCTGATCCAGCTACCTGCAAGTGTACCTGGGAGAGCAGTGGAAGATGGCCCAAATACTTGGGTAACTGCCACCCGCCACCCATGTGGAAGACCTAGAAGAAGCTCTTGGCTTCAGCCCAGCCTGGCACTGACTGTTGTGGCCATTTTGAGTGCATAAGTAAATGCAGATCTGTTACACTTTTCAAATAAGTCAATCTTTTAAAAACAAAACAAACAGATGGATCTTAGCATCTCTTTAATTCTATGAGGAGAACAACAAGCACAGAAGTTGGTCAAGTTATAGTTACTTTTAGAATGGAGCTGTAATGCAGGGTCTTCCACCATCAAGTCAAATGATCTTTTTCTTATGTCTACTGATAGTTTCAATAAATTCCTAAATGTTACTTGGAAAAAATTAAGACAATTGATATCACTACTCTTAATTTGACATCTATAGCTACAGAGCACAAATCCTGCTCTTTAAAAAGCTTAAAATTTAAGGGGACAGACATTTAGGGTAGCAGTTATAATGCTAACAGGGACATCTGCATGCCATATTGGGATTCCCAGGGTCCAAATTCTGGCCTGATGCCTCATTCCAGCTGCCAACCCTGGAAGGGAACAGGTGATAGCTCAAGCAGTAAGGTCCCCGTTATCCTTGTGTTAGACCTGGATTGAGTTTCTGGCTCCTGGCTTTGGTCTGGCCAAACCTCAGCGGTTGCAGATGAGATCTCTGCTTGCCTGCTTCTCCCTCAAATGGAGTAAAAAGGTATCTGTGATGATGAACCATCCGATTTATACTGGGTTCATTCTGGAAAGTCTTAAAATAAGCACTTGTTTTGTTCTATCAAGCTAGGAAAACAAACCCGCTTTGCAGGCAGAATGGTGCTGCATTTATTCACAGCTACTGAGTACCTATGAAGTGCCTGGTAGTGGCCATCACAGCCTCATCAGTACCCTCAGTTCTCAGGGAGTTTCTACACTATGCAAGGACTGGAAATCCTGACGCAAAGTTTGCAAAGCAGAGAAAGAAGTGGCTCAGGCACCAAGGCTTGGCAGTGACGAGGAGGGACAGGTGCAAACGATAAAGAAGAAATGGCAAGTGAGCAAGGAAGAGAATCAGAAGAATATGGAGTCCTAAGAGAAGACACTCTTTCTGGATCACTTGTGACAAGAACAGCTGATAGGCCGAGGCGAGGACTGGAAAGCAACTCCTGGATTCGGCAGACAATGTCACTGGTTATCTTGACAGTTTTGGTACAGTGGGTTGAAGAACTGGCAATGTGTGTTGTGCAATAGGCTATGTGTGCATACTGGAGTGCCTGATTTGGGTCCCTGTCACTTCTGATCCAGTTTCCTGTTAATATGCCTGAGAGCTTGATAATGGCTCATGTACGTGAGCTCCTGATACCTACAAGGGAGACCTGGAAGGAACTGTCAGCTCCTGGCTTCAGTCTGGTTCAAGCTCTTGTGGCCACTTATGGAGTGAACAGCATACTGAGGATCTGTGTCACCCCGCCTTGCAAACAATTTTTAAAGAAAGGTTTATGTATTTTCAACGCAGAGAGAGAGAGAAAGGAAGAGACACAGAGAAGTCTTCCATCCAGTGGTTCATTCCCTAATGGCTGCAATGGAACAGGCAGGATCAGGCCAGGCTAAAGCCAGGAGCTTCTCCTAGGTCTCTGATATGAGTGCATGGGCCCAAGCACTAGGCCTTCTTCTGCTGTTTCCCCCAGGCTCATCAGCAGGGAGCTGATCAGAAGCAGAATGGCTGGGATATGAACTAGTACCTGTCAGCATCGTAGGCAACCTTACTCACCATGCCACAAAACCGGCTCCTAATATGTAAACTGAAGACTTGGACACAGAATACAGTACCTTCAAGGAGATTTACGGTGCAGAAAAAATGGCAGGAAGCAGAAGAAGTGGGTGAAGAATGGCTTTGAGCGCTGAGGGGCATGGTGGCTCAGTAACAGGCAGGGTGATGTGGGCAGAGGTGAGCTTACTAGAACAGCTAGGAAGCTGAACACAGCTGTCTGAGGCCCAGAGCAAGACATGGAATAGGGTGGGAGCCAGAGCTGGGAGAGGAGCTCTAGGGGAAGACTCCAGAAGCTGGGAAGATGTGCCAGTTGTCCCGCTGAAGCAACTGCCTCTGCAAGCAGACCCCAGGTCAGACAGTGACCCCTCAGGGGAAGGGGAAATGGATGGAGGATGGAAATGGCAGCACAGGACCCGGCTGCATGGAAAAACATGGAAGGAGCAGGGAGCTGGTCGTCATCAGGGCTTGCTCTGGCATTTACATGGGAATGTGAGAAACATGACACTCGGGAGTGACGTTAGTGATGGAGCATGGAATTACCAGCCAAATACAGAGAGAAGCAAAAACAGAAGGGGGGTGGAGGACACTGAGACAATGGGAGGGAGGCAAAGAGACGGTTACTGGTAGGGTCCAGGGAGCGCTTAGGAGGACCTACCTAGAGGAAAGAGCTGGGAAAAATAGGGTGTGTGTATTTAATTTTTTTTCAACTGCTATATATCAAAGTCTAAACTCAGGAGCAATGAGATAAATCATTTGAGAAAATTATTGTAAAAGCAGAGTCTTTTACAAAGAACAAAGTCACTCACAGCTATGTCCTTCTAAGCAGCTGCTGCATGCCAGGCAAATGCTGCGCAGCAGTATAAATGGAGGAGCCAGCAGTTCTTCTGACATCAAGAGCAATAATGAGCCTGTCCAGAGCTCCAGGGTCACCATGGATGAGGCACGAGGGGATGCCAGGAGGAGGTTACAGCTGCAGGGCTACAGCAGCAGGGAGAGGCAGGAGCACGCCATGCAGAGCGACTGGCCCAGAGATGTGGCTCAGGGAGGAAGGATGGTTGCTGGGGAAACTGTGTGCTCAGAGCGGCTAATGCAGGCCTGCTCCAAAACAAAGCTCTCAACTTTTCCCATGTTACGGCCTCATCTGCAATGGTTTCCCATGACAAAACAAGCAGATTTCAAAAAGCAGATGGAAATGTGGAAGTAAAAGTTAATTTGGGGGTAAAAATTTTCCATAATATACCATTTTTCGTGAACTTCTTGATCTCTCATTCTGTAGGACATTGCATTTCTTTTTCTTTTTTATAAGATTTATTTTTATTGGAAAGTGTGATACACAGAAAGGAGAGATGGAGAGGAAGATCTTCCATCCGCTGATTCACTACCCAAGTGGTTGTAACGACCAGAGCTGAGCCAATCTGAAGCCAGAAGCTTCCTCAGGGTCTCCCATGTGGATGCAGGGTCCCAAGGCTTTGGGCCACAAGCAGGGAGATGTACGGGCAGTGGGGCCACCGGGACACGAACTGGCACCTATATGGAATCCTGGTGCATGCAAAGTTAGGACTTTAGCTACTAGGCAATTGCGCCAGGCCCAGGACACTGTATTTCTAACTGTTTCCCTGTTATTGGGCTATTAAATCCAACCTCACTGAAAAGCTGACTGCAAACAGTTCTTGAGCTGAGCTGCAGTGAATCATTCTCCTTTTCAATTACTTTCTTAGAATAAATTTCCGCAGGGGAGGTCTGTGCACCAAAGGACAGGAGCACTTGAATAAATCTTCACGTTTCCCAGATCTACACCAAGTTGCACTGTCATGACAACTGCTTGCAGAGCCGCCGGCCTGCTTCTGTTCATTTACTGCACTGAAGGAGTCTTTATTTTTTAACTAAGTAGTGAGCATCAATTCTCCAGGTGCACACACTGTGACTTAACTGTTCACGCTGCTCCACTTACTGATAAAAGTTCTTGTGATGGGTGCCCATTATAAAAACATCCTGTTTGTTAACAGTTAATAAAAAACAAAAACAAAAACACCCACTTCCAACCTGTTGCAGCTCTGACTTCTGGCTAGACAGCAATCTCAAATTTTCACATGGTTAAGTCTTAAGTTTACTTTTCAGTTCTTTGACTTCTTTGAAACAAAGGAGCTGGAGTACATATTCCCTTACAATGGCTAAAACCACTGTTGAGTCATCTGATTTGCAAAAGTTCCCATAATCAGAATTAGCCATTAGAATTCTTTTTTTTTCTCTTTGTTTTTAAAGATTTGCTTTTACTTGAAGCTAGAGTGAGTGAGGGGGGAGAGTGTAAGAGAATTGTTCAATTGCAGTTTTCACTTCCCAAATGGTCAGAACAGTCAGGCCTGGGGCAGTATGAAGTCAGGAGCCTTGGACCTCACACGGGTGACAGAGGTCCAAGCAACTGCGGCATCGTTGGCTGCCTTCTCAGAATGCACTATCAAGGAGCTGGATCAGAACAGGAGCAGCTGGAATTGGTGCTTTAACACAGGATACTGGTGTTGCAAGTAGGGGTTTAACATACTACACCATTTAGGTGGCCCAACTCATTAGAATTCTTAGTTCATACTGAGAACATCTAACCAATACTGCCACACAGAGCTCAATTAACTTGAATCTTCAATCCCACCCATCCATCCAGCCTTGGCAGGTACTGTGTATACACTCACCGATATTCTATCCTGGAACTCTGCTGTGGGGACGATAGGAATAGTTCCACCATGCTTGCCGAATTTTCTTTCTAAACTTTCTTGAACAGACACTAGAAAAAAGAGATTAAAGTTAGATATTCCTGGGGGGGCGGGGGGAGTCACAACTCCAAACTCTATTCACAAGCCCCAAACTCAAACAAGGCTTTAAAAACCTGCGAGGGGCTACAAGAGTTAATCATTGAACACCCATAAATAAATAAAACACTCTGCCAACCTCCTATATAAAAGTGAATTTAGGTCACTGTTCTGTTTCCGTAACACCCAGTACCAGGGTTTTTCCTTGGCTCTGTGAAAAGAAACTGCTGAGAGACAAGAAAAGGCAGTGGCTGGACCACTGCAGCAGCTTCTTGGAGCAGGCTCACTATGAAAGCCAAGTACAGAAGCGCACTTGGAGGTCTTGATCTTATTACAGCCTGAAGAGCAATTGTAGTGCGTGTGAAGCTTACTCCAGTCTGAGAAACATGCATTCTCATTAGAAGACTCTTGACCCAAGCTACACCTTCTCTCGCAGAGAGAGAACTCAACAGTCAGTGTGTGCCATGTGGTTCACTTTTAACAGTGCAGAACACTTACTAGTGTGCAGATGATGGCCTGAAACCTTACACCCCAGAATAAAACCATGTATACAGACATCTTAGAGAGAGCTAATACATGGGACGACCAAGAAGAAACTAGGGAATTTCTGGCCTAAGCCTCATGAAGTAGAATAATAAAACTTTCTGTTCTCAGATGAGATTCTCAAAGGGAAGAAGTCCTCTGAAATGCATGCGGCATCCCCTGGCTGCCCAAAGCTTATTCACTGAGAATTATTATTGGAACTCACTGAGCAAATGGTAATTGGAGTCCCTTTCATATTTGAAGGTCAAACGGCCATAGCTGACATGGTTCAGATTCTTCAGCCACTCGAAGTAAGATACTGTCACACCTCCTGCATTTAAGTAGAGATCCTGGATACACACACGGGACAGGAAGACAAGTGAGAACACGAAGAGCTTAGTCAACGCTTCAAATGAAAGCAAGAACTCGACTTCACTGAAAGACGTGCGCTCCCTCTTCCACACCACCTCACCCCTCTCTCTGAAGCGTGAACTCACTAGTGTAAATGCACTAGAGTCCAGTTAACTTTAGCATGAACTCCACGAGTAGTCACTGAAAGACCTCAGCACGTGTTGTTCCCATTGCTTTTTAAGTAAAATGGGAATGAATTATGTGAACTATGTGAAATGAATTAATGTCAGGAATCACGTGGGAAGCCTTAGACTTTAAGTTAGCATAATATCCTAGCCCATCAGACTCATAGCAGGATAAATGCACCCTCGAGCACAGAGCCAGAAGGAGTGTTCAGATCCATGTGAACCGACAGATATATTGTTCTACCCTATTGTTCTTAAAAACAAAATAAAAGTGAATTTTAGAGTGTGGGAAATGTAATTCTTCCCTTCACTAGTTTTTAGCAAAAAAACAATTATGAAGCTAAGTACATATTAAAATTCTGTAAACATGGACAACTTACTGGGATAACCATGATGTTTCTCTCCAGGAAAATCTTGTCAGCTTCGGGAGTTGTTGGCCCATTGGCACCTTCGGCAATGATCTGTAAGAATCAGGAACATGCAGAAATGGCATTTGTCGGGGTCTACTACTACAACAGAAGTACAGATGGGGGGCAGTGAGCAGTGTAATTCCAGGTATAATAATTCATTACTCCCCAGTTTCCCTGATTGTGGTTTGGAGGTTGCTGATGGTTGCACAACTCTGAATATACTGAGTCATGAAACTGTCTACTTGAAGTGGGTGAAATGTATGGGATTTGAATTACATGCCAATAAAACTTTGCTAAGAAGAAAAATGAAGAAAGGCATTCAGACTCTTTTATGGCCTCTCTAACTTTATTCCATGCTAATCTTCTTGATTCTACATAAGCTCTCACCTTGGCTTTGACCCTGGGTGCGTTGGCTTTGGTCAACTGCTTCTCACTGGCAGCAGGGATCAGTATGTCACAGTCAGCCTCCAAAATGCTCCCTTCATAAACCTTAGCCTTGGGGAAGCCCAGGATGGATCCATGTTGCTGTCATTGGTAGAAAATCAGAATGAACGGCTGTAAGAGCTTAACCGATCGCATCTACTATTGACAACAGGAAAATGAGTTTCTTATTTAAAAACACACACACACACAAAATAATGGATATAATTTAAATAAGGCTGATTTCAATGTTACAAGGTTCATCATGGTCACACTGGTCAGGTGTTAAGTAACTTACCAATTTGAAGTCCTCCAGTTCCTTTGGGTCAATACCATCTGGATTGTATATACTTCCATCGGATTCACCAACACCAACACATTTAGCACCAAAACGATGTAAATATCTCATAGAATGCAGGCCCACATTACCAAACCCCTGTGAAGAAAATGCCATGAGACATAAAAATTGAAACTCTTAGTCCGGATAGTAAGAATCATATATTAATGCAATTTAAACCAGCATTCTGTTAGGTTAGAAGCAATTCTCAACATCCTTTTGTCAAAAGAAGCCACACACTAAATGGCTTTTAACAGTAAAACTTCTACTTGAGGGCCTGGCATGGTAACCTAGTGGTTAAAAGTCCTTGCTTTGCATCTGCTGGGGCCCCATATTGGCACTGGTTCTAATCCTGGCGGCCCCACTTCCCATCCAGCTCCCTACTTGTGGCCTGGGGAAGCAGCAGAGGACGGCCCAAAGCCTTGAGACCCTGCACCTGCATGGTGGAACCGGAAGAAGCTCCTGGTTCCTTGCTTTGGATTGGCTTAGCTCCGGCCATTGTGGCCACTTGGGGAATAAATCAGCAGATGGACGACCTTTCTGTCTCTGCTCTCTATGACTCTAATTTTCCAATAAAAATAAATACATCTTAAAAAAATTACTAGGGGTGAGGAGAACCTTCCCATTTGAAAATATGGGAGCTCTATTATGCATAAGACAGCTCTAAAGAGGTTTCATTGGCACGGCCTTCTTTGCCTTACAAGGAAACGGCAGTGGGGTCAGCCTCACCAGTGTGGGTCAGTCCCCAAAGACTGGTCATCCTGTTGTTCCATGGAGGTATTTCACTGGTTTGGAGGATTGTGAATTCTATTTTAAAGCTCAACTTTGGGGAACTTGGATCCCCCAAAGTAAAATGCATGTTAACACATCAAACAGATTTGTCCCAATGTCCAAATCTTTCTGTATACTCATAACAGACTTAGAAAATTATGCTGTGAAAATAAATCTGCCATATGACCCAGCTACCCCGCTCCTAGGAATATACCCAATAGAAATGAAATTTGCAATATGAGAAGGGGATCTGTAATCCTATATTTGCAGCAGCTCAATCTATAATAGCAAAGAAATGGAAACAATCCAGATGTGCATCCAAAGAAGAGTGGTTAAAGAAACTGTGGTACATCTACTCCACGGAATATTATTCAGCTATTAAGAATAAAATTATGCCATTTACAACTAGGTGGTCCCAACTAGAGACCATTTTGCTCAGTGAAATGAGTCAATCACAAAAGAAGAAATACCATATGTTCTCTCTAATGTAAGGAAATCATCATGGAAAGTGTAACTTCAATAACCCTATCTATACTTTTTTTTTTTTTTGGCTGCATCCCATGTGTTTTTATTGTTTTGATTTCAGTTTCATTTATTTCAAATACCTTCTTTTCTCTTGTCAAATTCATTGCTGGCTCATGGATTACACAGTGGCATCATTTTTCCCAAGAGACTTGTGTTTCCTTTTTGTCACCCATGTGTTGGTTACTCAGTGGTGTGTTTTTTCATGGTGCCGTAATTTGTTGTTGTTTTTGTGGCTGTTACTCTAATTCATACCAGTTGTTGATCTTGTCTCATGGCTTCTCATTTATGGAAATATACAGTGATGGGGCACGGGGGACTACCATATCCAGATGTGGGGGTATAATGCAACATGCATCCCTGCTTCCAAACAAAAGATGGACTCCCAATGAAACTGCTGTAAATGTGTAGACAATGGAATGCCAGACTGTCTGACACCGTTTGTATCAGTAATGTCGGGGCATACTTAAATAAGAGACTGATGGAATTATGACTCCTTATGAAGCACTATACTATTGCAGCAACATGGGGAAAATCTGTCAGGGGGCAGGAGTTTTGTTGAGGCAGAATCCCAAATAAAATAAAATTAAAAAAAAAAGAAAGAAAATTATGCTGTGAGACCTCCCTTTCTGAATATAGCCTCGCTTTCCAATACTGGCCAAAAAGAATATGGTGACCATTTCATAGTATCTGGGAGACACTAAAATCAGTTCTAGCCATGTGGAATCATTTTGATATCTAAAAAGTAAAGAAGTATTACTCCGAAAACAGTAAAGAAGCATTACTCGGAAAAGAAACATCTAAAATCAAAGAGATTCAAAAGAATCCGATTTCTAGAACTGCTAATTTAAACTAGAAACACACGTTACTTAGGTGTACACCAGTCGTGAAGAGAAGAAAACTCTTACCTGAACAACAAATGTTTTATCTCCAAATCCCGGTGTCATCCCCAAAATGCTCATGTAAGAGGCTTCGTTGATGAAGTTTTCAATTCCATGGAAAAGCCCGCGGCCGGTAGCAGAGATGCGTCCATGGATGCCTCCTTGGCTGATGGGCTTGCCAGTGACACAGGCATGCGCATTGATATCCTGCAAGAGGAAGTCCTCACTCAAATGCCGGGGAAGGCGTTTGCTCGGGAGCTCAAGTCGCCCTAGTGATGTTCGCATTCCACAGGACAACATCTGGCTTAAGTCCTTGCTACTCTGGATTTCTGATTCTGCTCCCTGCTGATGCATATCCTGACAGGTAGCAGATGATGGCCCACATATTTAGGTCCCTGACACCCATGGGGGATGCCTACATAAAAACTCTAGGTTCCTGGCTTAGGTCTGGTCCAGTTTTGGCTTTTGTGAGCATTTGGGAAGCAAAACAGGAAGTGGAAGACCTCATTATTTCTGTCTCTCTGTTCCTTTCAAATAAAATGAACATATAACACAATGAAATGTCAAGCCCCCTTTCTCATCACACATTCTCATTTCGCTAAAATTATGCTCATCAGGAATATGTGTGACTATTTATTTGCCTGAGAGGCAAAGAGAGAATTTAGAGAGAGCCAGCTCCCATCCCCAAGTTCACTGCCACAGTGTGAGCCAGGGACTGCAGCAGGAGCCAGGGACTCCATCCAGGGGTGGCAGGGACCCAAGCACTTGAGCGATCACCTGCCATCTCTCAGGACACACAATGCTCTCTGGGATGAGATGTGAGAATTTTAAATGCTAAACACGCTTGTCCCTGTCCATAGCCTCAAAGTATACTTTTACCAACAGGACAATAGGCCAAGTCTGTTTTTCAGCTCTCTGCTCCCAGCATATACCTACATAGTAGACTTGATTTACCAAACAGAAAAACAAAGTTTAGGAATTTAATCTCAAGTACAAACAAAAATATCAGAAAAATTGAAACAGCCAGGTTTAAAGTTATCACTCCCTTAACAAATGTTAAGTCCAGTGTACATATACCCACAGAGTTTAAGAATCCACTCACACCACCAAAACCAAGCCCATGGCAGGAAGAGGTGTGTGGCATTCCATGTGGGCAGCACCAAGTGCTATCTTAATCTACTGTGTAACAAGAAACTTTCAGGGCTGACAATGTTGTATATGCAGAGGGTTAAACCAATGCCTGCAGCACTGACATCCCATGTAAATGCAGGTTTCAGTTCTGGAAGCTCTACTTCTGATGCACATCTTTGCTAAAGAGCTTGGGAAAGCATGAGAGGATGGCCGAAGCTCCTGGCTCCTGTCTGGTCATTGTGGCTATCTGGGGAGTAAAATCAGGCAATAGCAGACCTTTCTGCCTCTCTTTCTCTCTCTCACTTTAACTTAGCCTTTCAATAAAAAATTAAAAATCACCTACTACAGTGATTTAACAAAAGCGCTTTATAAGATTTTTCAAAAAGGCAGGTGTGGGTGTGCCATAAAAGCACATGCCTGATACCTGGGCGTGAACAGAACACTTTAGTAGCACCAGTCAGCTCTGTGAAGTGGGAAGTCTTTACCGCCCACCCTTCCATTCTCCAAATTAAGGATGTGCATGTACTCGTGTTCAGAAACAAGAATCAGAATCGGGTGCAGGAAGGCTACCCTTCCAAGACATCAAGTTCATGCTCAGATTGCTGCACATCTACAGAGGAATGAGACACTCCGACTTTAGGAGGAAGTGGAAAGAAAATGAGGAAGAACTGAATGTCAACTTGTGAGGCTTATTTGCTCTGTGTGTAAATTAAGACGTGTCCTAGTCTTTATCTGTATTGTTTGAGCATTTTTACAGAGAACTCAGAACTGTATTTCTTGTACAGAAAATTACAGAAGGATAAAAGCACTCTCCTGAAAGAGCTACAGGATTAGCAGTTTTCCCACAGTTTTCTTTCATGAATAATTAATACTTGCGAATACAGTTGCACATCTAGTGCCAAGTGCTTCTAGCAGGAGAATGCCAATGCTGGAGTTGAAGGAAACGTAGTCTGAGGCCAGGCCTGGTACCAGCTGCCAACTCCCCAGCATGCCTCATGGTTCCCCTCAGCCATGGGGGACACTGTCCCACCAGTGACACACCTCCAGATAGGGCCAAAGGGTTCCAGTTCACAACTAGAAATGACTAACATCTATGGCTTTCTTACCTTAGGCTTCAATTTTGGGCTTCCTATCACTTTAAGATGGAAAGTCGTAGTTAGCAGTGCCTCACACCTTTTAATTTTGCTCTCACCATTGTGAATGAGCTATGAATAACAAAACATTACCTACTGAAAACAGGCCATTCCCAGAACTCAGCTAACATGAAAGCAAAAAGCATTCCCTTTGGAAATGGCAGTCAAAATTCTTTCAAGAGTCCAACACTATTGTTGATTTTAGGGGACTTGTGCAATTCACATGATGTAATTCTTGTATTTGTCTCTTGGTGTTTACAAAGGGCTGTGGACTGTTCTAAGTACATTGATCACCTATGTAATCCTTATAAAGTTCACAAAGTCACTTTATTATTGTCTTTTTCCATGAAAGAAAACCAAGGCACAGTGCTGGAGCCAGGCCTGGGATCCAGTGTCCTGCCCAGGCTCTCAAACCAGCACCACACTCAGGAAATGCACTCCTTTCTCTGCCTCTCTTCTCATCTCCACTGGGTGTCCCAAAGAAAAGTTTCCTGGGCCCTTAATACCTTTGGAAAATTTTATTGCAAGAACAACCCTTACCATCTTGCACCAACAAATCTGGCCATAGCAAATAAACATGCCAAATCACCAGACACAACATGCTCTAAGGGCAAGTGCCACCACGCATGCCATGTTCTCCAGTGTCCACTTATAGGTGGGGCTAAATGTACACCCCACTTCTTTCTTTCCATCCCCTTGTGGTCTGGGCCGCTCTAGTCTCCCCTGCACTTACAGGAGGCCTTTAAAACCCAACTCACTTGAGTCACACACACTCTGCTTCCAGGACAAAGAGTAAAGTCGGTGTGTCCCATCTCTGCTGGCCTTTCTCATCTTCCTCCTGCGCACAACACTGGCTGGCCCCAAGCCTCTCAAGTTCATTCCCTTCTGCCTTTCAGAACCTTCACCCAGGTGCTTCCTTCTGCCCCAGCACTAGCCCAGTTCCTTCCCCTGGGCCAAGTCCACTCATGCTGCAGGGTTCAGACCAAAGAGGCCCTATCTGATCTGACCTGACCTCACAGGCTCAATCTGGTCTCATTACCTTTTATTGGCCTGGAACAACTTGCAGCACTTTTGCCAAGGGCAGTGACTACCTGGCTCGTACTTGGCCTTGCATGTGATAGGCACGAATGTCTTTTTCTAACTCTGTTTCTCAGCCTACTCTTTAAATGCTTGACTTTTCACAATCCCAGTCTATTCAGGGACAGGGAAAGCCTTCCTCCTGGGCTCTGTTCGGGGGCACAACTCTGCTTGGGCCCCAGATTCTGATTCTCACACTCATCCCTGTCCTTGACCTCCATATCTCAGCGATTCTCGCTCAAATTCTACCTTTTCAAGGTAGAGCCAAAATCTCTCCCCCAGAAATCCTTCCTCCAGAAACTGCCACATGCCCCCTGACATGACGCCATTTCCGCACTACATGTGTGTTCTTGTCTGCAAGCCCTTTGAGGAAGAAGTCAGAACAATGAGCTTCCTCACTCTGCTTGCAGGGTCTCTACAGAGGGTGCTCCCTGGCAGGGACCCAGGGCAATGGGAAAGTAGAAACTCAATCCAAAGGTAGGAATAGAGGAGCTGAAGTAAGATGTCAAGGTTAAAACAGTATGAAAAAAACAGTGATTTATCTTTCCTGTAAGTTGGGAGAACTGTTACACCTTACAGACAGCAAATGTAGAAAGCCTGGGGTTTCCCCCGGGTACTCACATAATGCCCTATGGTGCTGGCATAGGTGTCAGCAATCCAGGACATTTCCCGCTCGCCTGTGCTCATGTCCGGAGCAGGCACATCAATGCCAGGACCTGGGAGGCATAGGGAAAGACAGTGAATTAGTTTTACGATAAAGTCATCTTAAACATAAAGATCCTTGTAATTCCCATGAGCATCCCATGGGGGTGCAAGGGCCCAGGCACTTGGGTCATCCTCTGCTTCTTTCCCAGGTATACGAACAGGAAGCTGAGTCCAAAACAAAGCAGATGGTAGCACTGGTGAACCACAGTGCTAGCCCGGGTTCTGTAATTCTTCCATCCTCTAGTTCACTCCACAAATGGCTGCAACAATGGCAGGTGTTGGGTCAGGCCAAAGCCATGACCTCCATTTGGGTCTCCCACGTGGGTGCTGAGGTCATCCTTGCTGCTTTCCGAGGCATGTTAGCAGAGAGCTGGCTTGTAAGCCAGTACAAATTTGTTTAACCAGGCTGGTTTTCTCCTAAGGTATACATGACAAAGTGTTCCTGAGTTCTTCTAGACATTATCTATCGTGCTTTTTTAAAAAATCATTTTGCAATATTAAGGGTTAAATAAGCTTGTTGCTTTAAGTATAATATTCCAGTCAGAGTAGGGTTATTGGCAAGTGGCATGTCTGAGGTCCGTGTGCATGAATCAGAAATATATGATAAATCTCTTCCTAAGACTTGAATGGGAACAGGCTAGGAGTGAGACAGCTTCAGAGTGTCGCCAGGCTGAGCAACTTGGGAGTTATACAACCTTAGTCAACAGAAGCAGCACTGAACTCCACAGGGGAACGAACACTAACTTTTCACAAGTTAGTCCAAAAATCAGAAGAGGAAAGAACACCTCTCATTTCATCTTATGAGGCCAGTATAAACCTGATATTAACGAGAAAGCTGTATACCAATATCCCTTAAAACAGCATTAAAAGAAATAAAATGCTGAGGAGAGTTTCCTACTGAGAAATATGAAACTTGAGAAACCTCAATCAACAGGAAGACTTTATTAATTCATGAATTAATTAAGAAAGAGGGCAAGACACACTGTGCTACAGATCCAACACAATTGTTACTGAATCCCCAGCTGTCTTTTTGGCTGTAATTACAAGGGCCCGGCGCCATGGCCTACTGGCTAAAATCCTTGCCTTGAACGTGCCAGGATCCCACATGGCTGCCCGTCTAATCCCAGCAGCCCCGCTTCCCATCCAGCTACCTGCTTGTGACCTGGGAAAGCAGTCGAGGACGGCCCAAAGCCTTGGGACCCTGCACCTGTGTGGGAGACCAGGAGAAAGCTCCGAGTGCTTGGCTTTGGATTGGCTCAGCACCGGCCATGGCGGTCACTTGAGTCAATCATTGGACGGCAGATCTTCCTCTCTGTTATCCTCTCAGTATATCTGACTTTGCAATAAAAATAAATAAATAAATAAATCTTAAAAAAAAAAAGTGGATGCTAAACTCACAAAATGGAATGGGGCCAGAGCTCAGGTGTGAGCCTCATTATGAAACTCTGTGGGAAGTGAAGTCCCAAACCAACAGGAGTAGTAGGAAAAACTCCCTGCCTACCTTCCCTGCTGCAGAGCTTTCCGGCCCAGACACCAGCTTGCTTGTGCCATGAGTTAGTTAATGAGCCCTTCGCACATGAGCCAAGTAGTCACATTAACTAGCACCGAAAACTGTGCTTTCCGTGTGCCAGTGGATCATTTTTTAAAGTTTGTAACTGTAAGACTCTTACCAAAGTGGTCAAAATGATGGAAACACTCCAGAGATGGGCAACAAATATGACTGAATAAAGCCCCAAACCAATCAAGAGTATTAAATGTTTGCGACTTAGGCTAAGAGGCAATATAGCATAAGAAATGAGAGCTAGCAGCAGGATTTCAAGCCAGCCTATCTTTGAATTAAGAGATACTGACAGGTGTGACTGAGGCATTAATACACTTCTATATGACAAGGTACATGCAAAGCGCACAGCAGACCTAGGTAAGCAGCATGGCAAGAACCCAGATGCCTTTACAGAAACGTACTTATTTAGTTGAAGGCAGAGTGACAGACAAGGAATGATTTTTTTCTAGTCTGCTAGTTCACACACCCAAATGGCCGCAACAACCGGGCTGGGTGAAGCTGGAGCCAGGAGCTGGGAATCTACCTAGGCCTCCCTCGTGGACGCAGGGACCCAAGGATGTGGGCTATCCTCAGCTGCTCACAGGCTCATTAGCAGGAAGCTGGACTGGGAACAGAATAACTGTGACTGCAACCGGAGCTCACAAGGGATTGTGGCTCTGCAGGTGCTGCACCACCATGCTGGCCCCACCTCCATACCTCTAAAACTATATACAAAAGCTGGGCCAAATCTAGTCAAAGTGTAGTGTTAACCTATATTTATTGATTTTGTATTTGTCTATCACATGCACTTTTTCCTAAAAATGGGGTAAAACATGGGTAAATGAATTTCTTAGAAACTTGTGAACAAGGAAACCAGAAGGTCCCTCAAGTATGGGTATACCTCTTTTCTTTTTTCAATCTGTTCTGTTTTGTTTGGTTCTAGTCAACCAAATTAGAAACTTTCTAGACTAAGGAAAAAAAATTTAGAAAGATTTAAGCTGCTTCTAATCTAAAGAGTAAATGGCAAATATCTATTTATCACAGAGAACTAATCCTATCGCACACAAAACAACACACCACCAGGCAGTGAGAAGCAAGATGGCAGTGGCTTCTTAGGTGTCCCCACCGACAGCGTTCCTGTACTTCCCACACAATGTGCAAAAAACTACTCTCCATGCAATACATACCAATAAAGCCTTTCTTGGCTAGTTCCATTGTAAACCTCCTTGTGATCTTTTCCAACTCATTATCCTGTGAATAAACAACAATGATAAACATGTGATACAAATGTCACTTGGAAGGCTTGGTATGGTAGCCTAGCAGCTGAAGTTCTCACCTTGCATGCACTGGGATCCCATATGAGCCCTGGTTTGTACCCCAGCGGCTCCATTTCCCATTCAGCTCCCTGCTTGTGGGTCTGGGAAAGCAGTCAAGGACAGCCCAAGGCCTTGGGACCCTGTACCCTTGAGGGAGACCCAGAAGAGGTTCCTGGCTCCTGGCTTCAGATCGGCTTGGCTCAGACTGTTGTGGCCAGTTGGAGAGTGAACCAGTGAATTGAAGATCTTCCTCTCTGATCTCTCCTTCTCTCTGTACATCTGACTTTTCAAAAATATAAATAAATCCTTTAAAAAAATCACTTGGAGAGAATAATTCCATCATATGTTCTGTTTATGGGACATTCTCACATTTTTGATGCAATTCTCAGGATATACAGTAGGCAGTTCCATCTTAAAGTGAAGCAAATGAGAAAACAACCAGAAACTGGCTTATTAAGGAGCAGGTGTCTGGGCTAGAGGTTAAGGTGCCTGCATCCCACTTAGACATCCTTGGGAGACAGCAGCAAAGGTTCCCACTGCACATGTGTACTATGTGGAAGATCCGGACTGAGTATCCTGCTCCTAGCTCTGGCCCTGGCCACTGCACACACCTGGGGAGTAGATTAACAGCTGGGAGCTTTCTTATTCTGTCTCTCAAATAATCGGCAAGAAGAGAAATTAGGTTATGAGAATCAGCTAGAATAGTAAGGGCGCAAACCCCAATTTCCCTTTGTATTATATATATAATAATCCCTCATATATAATCCCTCCCTCTTAGAGACCAAATCTTTTTGTTTTAAAAGATTTATTTGTTTTTATTGCAAAGTCAGATATACAGGGAAGAGGAGAGAGCGAGACAGATATTCCGTCCGCTGATTCACTCCCCAAGTGACTGCAACAGACGGTGCTTCACTGATCTGAAGCCCGGAGCCAGGAACCTCTTCCGGCTCTCCCACAAGGGTGCAAGGTCCCAAGGCTTTGGACCGTCCTCGACTGCTTTCCCAGGCCACAAGCAGGGAGCTGGAAAGGAAGCAAGGCTGTCAGGATTAGCACCAGTGCCCATATGGGATCCTGGTGTGTTCAAGGCGAGGACTTTAGTCACTAGGCCATAGTGCCGGGCCCAAGACCAAATCTTAATTAAGACTAATTGGAGGGCCTGGCATGGTGGCTTAGAGGCTCCACTTTGGTACTTACCGTGTAGCTCTTGGGATTGATCTTAACACCAGCTTTTGCACCCCCAAATGGCACATCTGAAAGGGAAAGCAGAAAGTTGTCTGTACAAAGATCAAAAGAAGAATGCTCTACGCAATGAGTTGCATCTCCCTGACCCAAAATGCTCATCTCTAGCAGTGTTTTGGATTTTGGAATATTTGCTTACGCAAAACAAAATAAGGGACTTGTGAATAGGATCCAATTACCTCATGAAGGCCCCCATTTACCAAAAGTCTAAATTTAACTATTAAGACCGACTTAAAGGTGTTAGGCCTTAAAGACTACCTTAAACAAAGTTGGCTTTGAGAGGTACATTTTTATAGCACCTTAACAGGAAGCATGTGTGCAAACATACTCCCCCAGAGTTCCTGAGGCAGCAAGAAAGATGGCCACTTACCAACCACTGCACACTTGTATGTCATCAGAGAAGCCAGCGCTTTCACTTCATCTACACTCACGTCCATGCTGTAACGGATACCTGGAGGGATGTATTTAAAAAAAAAGACAGGGAGAGAGAGGAGAAGGCAATTATTTAGAACAAGCTTTCATTACAGTTTCAAAACCACCAACTGACAAGCTACAAAGTGAAGATGCCCACACTGCAAGGAGGCGAGCGGCCAGGCAGAGGCAGCCAGCAGCCCTGCCACCTCTGCTGAGCAGCTCTGGGGGGACAGAAAGTAGGGATGCCTTCTACTTTGATTCTGGGGATCACGTCAGTCTCCCCTCCAAGAGCTGCGGGGCCTAAGCATCTTTGCTTCTCCAGAGTCCAGTCTTCCCACCGCAAGGCCGACACACGGCACTGCGACTCCTTAACGCTGCACCTGTGCGTGAAGCACATGGGCCTCAGCTGCCTTTCTGCCCTCCTTCTCCCAACAGCTTCAGCCACGGAGTCACAGCTGAGTTGATGGGAGCCCTGGGGATCTCTCTCGGGAATTTAGGATTGTTAAGATGGCAAATATATACCATCTTACCAATTAGAAGTTTGAGAAAATTAAAAAAAAAATTACATATTTATTTTTATTGTTACAGAAAGGAGACAGAGGTTCCAGCCACTTGGTCACTGAACAGGGCTGTAGCCGCCAGTGATATGGATGGCAGAGGCCCAAACACTGCTGCTTCTCCCAGGCAGGAAGAGGAGCTTGATCAGAAGGGGGACACAAACTGGCACCCAAATGGGATTCTGTAGGTACCTGCTATACCACCAGGCTTGCCCCTCTAGTTCTGGTTCATTTTTTAAAAAATTTATTTGAGGGCCCGGCACCATGGCCTAATGGCTAAAGTCCTCGCCTTGAATGCGCCGAAATCCCATATGGGCGCTGGTTCTAATCGCGGCAGCTCCACATCCCATCCAGCTCCTTGCTTGTGGCCTGGGAAAGCAGTCAAGGACGGCCCAAAGCCTTGGGACCCTGCACCCACCTGGGAAGCCCAGAAGAGGTTCCTGGTTCCAGGCTTCGGATCGGCGCAGCACTGGCCATTGCGGTCACTAGGGGAGTGAATCAGCAGATGGAAAATCTTCCTCTCTGTCTCTCCTCCTCTCTGTATATCTGACTTTGTCATAAATAAATCTTTAAAAAATTTTTATTTGAAATGTCAGAATTAGAGGAGAGACAGAAAAAGACAGAGAGAGATTGATCAATTTTCCTTTCACTCATTCGCTCCCCAAATGGCTGCAACAGCTAGAATTGGGCTAGGCTGATGACAGGAGCCAGGAACTCCATCTGGGTCTCCCATGTAGGAGCAGGGACCCAAATAGTGGGTTATTCATTCTCTGCTGCTTTCCCAGGGAGCTGGACTGGAGCCTAGACTCTAACCAGTATTTATACGGGATGCTGGTGCTGCAGGCACAGGGTTAATCTACATTGTGCAAGCTCCATCTAAAGCTGCTTTGTTATGTTCAGAAATCATCAACCTAAACATTATTGGCATGTTTCAAGAGACAACTCTGAGGTTAAAGCCATGCCTTTGATTTACAGAGGAAATAGTAAGTTTACTTTGAAGAGTGCGTTCTTAGAATTATTTTGCAAACTGAGTTTTAAAAATACTAATGAAAACCAAAAAAAAAAAAAGTACTAGTGAAATGAACATATTATTGCATTTCCCCCTAGCATACAGCAGGTGTTTCGGGTAGCTTACTGCTTATTTGCCTCATGTTTCTACAGGGGAACTACTCCGTGTACCACAGCATCTCTCTCTCACACCCATGCCTTCGCCTCTCCACCTTGCTTGTTTCTTATGTATTTTAATGCCAATCTTTTACATTCAGTTAGTCTGGCCTCCTGACTCGGGAAGTTAGTATCATCAGGATATTCCTTGTTCTGCTTTGTGCTCTAAATCCTTGGTGCCAAACACAGAAATGATGTGTGCTAGACATTCAAAAATACCAACTGAATATGTGAATGTTTCCTGACAACTGAAACTTAATGTTGAGAGAGGGAAAAGCCGTGGCCAATAAAAACTGACCTAGATACATTTTAAGCTTCCCCATAAACATCGCTACATATGATAAAAAGTCTAAAAGTACTTAAGAACCAAGGCCCGGCACAATGGCTCAATTGGCCAATCCTCTCCACCAAGCGCTGTGATCCTCTATGGGCACCAGTTTGTGTCCTGGCTGCTCCATGTCCCATCCAGCTCCCTGGGAAAGCAGTGCAAGATGAAGCAAAGTGTTGGGAATCTGCCCCAGCATGGGAGACCCAAAGAAGGCTCCTGGCTCCTGGTTTCAGACTGGCTCAGCTCTGGCTGTTGCAGCCATTTGGGTAGTGTACTAGTGTATGGAAGCTCTGTCTCTCATTCTCTCCAATAAAAATAAATCTTTAAAAAAAACCAGACCTTAAAAAAAGTTTCCCAGAAACCAGAATATATAAAGATGAAACATTGTTATTTATAAAACAAAAATGTGTCTAAAAGTAAAATGTGGTTTTCAAATTATTAAAAATGCTGCAAGGGCCAGGCACGGTATCCCAGCAGCCAAAGTCCTAGCTCTACAGAATCACTGGGCTTCCACGTGGGGGCCGGCTCTAAGCTCAGCAACCCCCGCTTTCCATCCTGCTCCCTGCTCGCAGCCTGGGAAGGCAGGCGAGGACAGCTGCCCAAAGCCTTGGGACCCTGCATGCACATGGAAGCTCTTAGCTTCCTGGCTTCGGCCGTTGCGGCCACTTGGGGAGTGAATCATCAGAAAGAATGTAGTCTTTTCTGTCTCTCCTCCTCTCTGTATATTTGACTTTCCAATAATAATAATAATAAAATCTTTCAAAAATGCTATTAGGTAATATAGCCTATTACTTAGTAAATAATTATTCCAAACAGGGGTTGGGGAGGGGAGGGCTCCAGCTGTTGCCTTGTCTAGGTGGTCCCAGTCTGGGCACCTGCTCGCCTGGAGGGGTCTTAACAAGGCCTGCTGTGCCCAGGTGTAGGACTGCCCCAAGCATGGGACATGAGACAGCTGGCACGGAGCCCCCACACAGTCAACACTCACACTCAACGGTCACCATGCCAGACAAGTCATCACAAAGCATGAAGTGACACATAGCAAAGCAATTTCCTTTTTTTTTTTTTAAAGACCTAACAGAGAGGATCTGCATGCATAAACAGCTTAAAAAATTCTGGCTTCTTTTAGTCTCAAACTGAATTCATGCATGCAATACAACAAGGTTCACTTAAAGAAATGTTTTGCTGTACCAAAGACAGGTCACTTTCAAAAAATATTATTTAAAACATTTTTTTTTAGATTCATTTATTTTTATTGGAAGGGCAGATTTACAGAGAGAAGGAGAGACTGAAAGAGATCTTCCATCTACTGGTTCACTCCTCAAATGGCTGCAATGGCTGAAGCCGAGCTGATCTGAAGCCAGGAGGCCAGAGCTTCTTCCAGATCTCCCATGCTGGGGCAGGTTCCCAAGACTTTGGGCCATCCTCCACTGCTTTCCCAGGCCACCAGAAGGGAGCTGGATGGAAAGTGGAGCAGCTGGGGTTAGAACCAGCACCCATATGGGATCCTGGGATTTGGAGGTGAAGGATCAGCCAACTGAGCCACCATGCTAGGCCCTAAAATTTTATTTATTCTTTTTCACTGATTTTAAGCCATACACATTTCCTATTTGCTGGCTTATTCCCCAAAAGCTAACAGCAAAGGCTGGCCCAGGTTGAAACCAGCAGACCAGACCTCAGTCTGGGTCTCAGGGGGAGACAGGAGCCTACATGCTTGAGCCATCCACCACCTGCTGCCTCCAGGTGTGCACATCAGCAGGAAGCTGAAACCAACAGCAGAGCCAGGACGTACACCCAGCTACATTTTGATATGGGTTGAGGGTGTCCCAAGCAGTGTCTTAACTGCTGTGCTCAACACCCATCACTTTTTTCTATTGTTCTTTCAGAGACTACAGAAGTAGTTCCATTAAGTTACTTTTTCTTATTTTTCTATACAGTAAGTTCCATTAACTTAAAAACTAAAACAGAACTTAAATAGGCTACTGTGCTGGGCACGAAAAATATAAATGTTAAAAAAAAAAAACAAATCCTACAAGACTTCTAGTTGTAACAAGTACCTACAATGTAGTGCACATAGTAGTAAAGTTAACAATTACTTGATTTAGTTAATATTCATAAAATCAAACAGTATTTCAACAGCAAGTCTAGTTTTTCTAGATGTGGATGCTAATTAAGTAGACCACTGCTATGGTCCAATGTGGTAGCCTAGTAGCTAAAGTCCTTGCCTTAAATGCACCGGGATCCCATATGGATGCCAGTCCTAATCCCAGCAGCCCTGCTTCCCATCCAGCTCCCTGCTTGTGGCCTGGGAAGGCAGTCGAGGACGGCCCAAAGCCTTGGGACCCTGCACCTGCGTGGGAGACCTGGAAGAAGCTCCTGGCTTTGGATCAGCTCAGTGCCAGCCATTGTTGTCGCTTGGGGAGTGAATCATAGGACGGAAGATCTTCCTGTCTGTTTCTCCTTTTCTCTGTATATCTGACTTTGCAATAAAAATAAATAAATTAAAAAAAAAGAAAATACAAACAGAAAAGTCTGTTTTATTTCAAAAGTCCCAGAATTATGAGTCAGAACTGGTGGATGGAAACTGGCCACACCCTGTGCAGCCACCCCTCCTCACAGCACAGGCATTTTCTGCAAGTTGCCCTGAGGCAAGGGAGTTCTGAGAAGCAGCCCAGGCTCAGCTGATGAGCCATGCCGCAAGGCAGGGGCATCCCCTGGCACTTGCCAAGGACACCAGTAAAGGAGAGCTTCAACTGACAATCTGAAAACAAAACAAAACAAAAAGAAACTTGGAAAAAATGTAAATGTATCCGGAAGTAAACGATTCTGTACCAATATTTGAGACTGTGTCCAGTTAGATCAGAGACTCCTGCAAATACAGAGGAAAGCTGGTAACTGCCCAGCTCCAAGCAGAAACCAAAGGTGACAATGAAGCACATGCTACCTGAGAGTTCTTCTGCATATTTATTCTCCACATGCAGATTCAAGAGT